TCCAATACGACATGAAAAAAAATAAAGCGACTTGAGGGTGTGGGTGTTGCTGCAGGCGCTGTGTGAGTGCAGGTGTGGGTGTGAGTATGAATGAAGACAAGGTTCACACCCACACCTGCATCCATACCCAGCCGTCGTCCCTGGCGATCTAGTGACCTATTGCTGCTACTGCTATAACAAAACCAACCGCATCATATTTAGCGGTTATCGTCCCCATTCATGTAAAAACTCCAACCAGATTACAACTTACCGTTCCTGCAATTGTTGAGCAAATGTGCGATATGCATCAACTCAAAAACCATTATTTCATCATGCACCCCACTGACACTCATAGAAAAAGGAGTTTTATTTTTTTTCTTCCTTTTTTCCTTTCTTTTCTTTTTCTGTTTTTCATTACTCTTCGTTCTCTTTTACTGTCTGAGCTTCTATAATGCAATTACTTTTTTTTTCTTCTTTTCTTCGCGCATCATACCTTTCTTTCTTGCTGAAGAAAGGACACCTCTATCACAAAAAAGAAATGCAGTCAACAGGCGGGTGTGGGTGTGTGTGTGAGTGCAAGTACCTTCTTCATTTACACCCACCAACATCCACACCCACCCGAATAATTTTGATCATTATCAATTATATATTTAAAACTGTCATTATGTTCACAAAATGTTCTTTGTTTTAATCTTAATGGATTATAATATTTTGATAAATAAATTTTTTTATTATCAATATTATTTCGTAAAATAAATTCATCTGGATAAAATAGACATTCGACAGCTAACATATAATTTTTTTTCTAATAATAATTCAAAATTTTCACATGAATGAATTGTGATATCACAATTATTTAATCGATATAATTCAAATGAATGAAAATAATCAAAATTTTTTTTTTAAAATTTTGAATGTTTTCGTTTGTTTTCATCCTTGTTTTTCATTATAACAAGAAAATCACGATCTGATTTTTCATGATTTGTACCATAAACCCATGAACCATAATTATAAATATTTGTTATTGGATCATCATCGAGATTAAGATCTTTTATAATAGAGGATAGAATTATTTCCATCAATACTTTTGTGAGTGAGATGAAAAATTCAATTTCAAAATATATACATGCTATTTTTTTAATCGTGTCACTGTTGCATCAGCCTTGATTTCACAGCGACTGCAGGTACATATGTACGGTCATGACATGATATGATAGCTACGTGGCATGGACGGTGTGTCATATCTTCTTCTCGGGAGTATGAAAAATAAGCCCAAGATTTCTAGTTTACACAACGAGCTCACTTTTCTATACCGAACGGAAAGAGCACGATTAGAGAAGAGCATAACTTTTGCTCTTATTTTTAAATGTATATTTGACTGTGTATCACGCATCGCAGGTAGACTTCTGCAAAATGGTCACGGTCACGGTCACGGTCACGGTCACGGCGTCTCGTGACCGTGATCGTGACTAGTTTTCGAAAAATTGGCGTGACTGGGATCGTGACCGTGACTAAATAGCTCGTGACCGTGACCAAATGGATCGTGACCGTGACTTAACAGTGAAAAATTTTGATACTAAAAGTCTGATTTTTGTGAAAAAAAATAAAGATTCTAATTGATTTATGAGTTTTCTTTGTTTTGTTACAGGGAAAATCTACGAAATCAATTTAAATCTTGATTTTGTAGCACAAAAATCCAGCTAGTAATCCAAAATTTCCGTGGCCGTGACGTGACCGTGACTAGTTTCGAAAAATTTCCGTGACTATGAACGTGCCCGTGACCAGCTAGCTCGTGACCGTGACGTGATCGTGACTAGTTTCGAAAAATCTTCGTGACTATGAACGTGACCGTGACCAAGCAGCTCGTGACCGTGACCAAGCAGCTCGTGACCGTGACGTGATGTGACTGAAAAATCGTGGTCACGCAGAAGTCTAATCGCAGGAGAGAAAAGAATAAAAAGAAATACGATAAGAAAGGAGCATACGAAAGAAAGATAAAGTTTTTAGAGAAAGCAGTTGTATATTTATATAGATACTTTTTTATATAGACACAACAAAGGCATTTAGGAGAAGTAAGAGCTGCATCTTGTAGTGTTAACGCGCTGCCTATGCCCTCAGTTGCTGTGTTAGAAGTTCCATCATTGGTTCAAACATAATCAACTTTGCGAAGGAATATTTGTTGTCGTATGAAATATCGACTGATCCTTTTCTATCAGCGTGTCAGTCATATATATTCGTCGGTTTTGAATATTCATATGAAGCAAATAATCACTGTAGCTTTTTCCAATCGCAGACACTTACACCCGTATCTAAACTTGGTAAGAACATAAGTTGTGTGTTGACAGGCACTGTAAGCTTTGCACATGAACCTGGTTTTCATGAGGTATACGAAGATCAAATACGGATTGTTTGAAACCATCAATTTAGCAAACACCGATATAACAGGCAGGTGATCCTTGCACAGGATCATATTCTACCCCAATTAACTTCGAATCTGATATCCAATGCGTATTGCTATAAATTCTCTTGATGTTGTAAAGATGACTTTCAACAAATGCTTTGAGATGAGCATAATTGAGGTATGCAAGTGACAGAAATGGGCACATACTAAGATAGCACAAAAGCAACAACATAATGTTTCACGTTTTCCTCAATTCTGTATAGCGAAATGTTTTGTTTTGCTTATTATAAATGGCAAAGCCAATCAAATTTTTTCTTTCTTAAGTTAGCTACAGCAAAGATTCTATTTCTCATAATGTATTATATTCTGTAAAGTCCAAACATTTGTGAACGTTGCTGACTCATTAAGAGTAGCTCAATCATATTCCTATAATTCCTATTGGTAATTGGAATTATTGATAGC